TTTCTGGAGAGTTCCATGTTGTCTGAACTGTGGATAAGAGTTGTAGAGCTTGAAGAACGGGATTAGTGGAGCTGCAGATTAGGGTCAACTGTGGAGCCATCTTCTCTGAGAAACTCTCCTTTACGTCCTCACGACTTTCTATGACGGGAGGCTGACCACGAAAGGGAACGATTTCATACAATGGCTCAGCCATTTCACTTTCTCTTTTGTGCATTCCCCCAAAGACAGTCCCTGTGAGTCTTACAGTTCAAGTGCTTTAGCCCTGGATACAAAGTCCTGAATGTTCTGGTTGTAGCATTTCTCTTCAGCTTCATGCCCTGCTATATCCCTTTAGCCTTGTGCCACTGGCCTCATAAGATTAGTCACTTTCCTTGAGAATACCCTGAGCTCATTCTCCTTGAGGCCTGAGCTCATTGCGTTCTCTGTGCCTATTTTCTTCCTCTTCATACATGGAAACCCTCTTGAGTATTCAGGCTTAGTTTAGAAGGTGCATCATTTTCAGAGAACATCCAGGCCCTCAAGAGGATGTGGCATGGATGTTTGCAGTCTTTTTATCCTGCCTTGTGTATTCTAGCCCCTCTCCATTGAGAATGAGCTCTCCAGGAGCTCCAGATACATCAAACCCAACACCTATGTCTGCCAGGTCCAATACTACCTTGTCAAAGACCGAGCTGCTAGCAAATGTCTGGGCATCATTTTATCTAACAGTGGTTCCAGAGGAGCTCCAGAAGTCAACATCAGGCTTATTCAGGGTTTGTTTGATCAAGAGTCCAGCTATCTGAATTCTGTTCTAGAACTGATCTGATGGTGTCTCATGACTAACCTTTCTCAGACTTGTTTTGGATACTTGTTGATGTCTGATTAATGCCAGGTCTCTGAGTTTTTATTTCACTTAAAAACTTAACAACAAGGTTGAATTCACAACACTTTCACATGTTGTTAATATGAACTATTTTTTAATAAAATGCCATTATTTTTATACCAGAGCAATTTGAAGTGTGAAAATGGTAGGGGTTTTTTAGGTATATTTTTGCCCTGAGAAGAAGAATAAATGTCCATAGTCTGTTTGTAACTGTGATTAGTAAGACTCATGTCACGGAACTAGAGTTTGAAGTCTTTGGTTCATGTCATGGCTTATTAGCCCCGAGTCTTTAGTCTACATTCCAATCTGCACTTTTCAGTGTATAATTGGGAAACCTTTCTCAGTGTTGATGGGAAGTTTAAATAAGATTTGGACATGATGCTGAAGCTTTATTAATATCTGATTTGAAACTGGATTTGGAAATCACTGTCTCCTTTTAAAATTTTTATCTTGTTTTAAATTTAATTTTTGTAATTTTTGAGGGTTTCATATGTGAGAAAAGTATATGCATCATTTCTACCTCTTCCTCTCCCCCCTCCAACTCCTCCCATGTTGCCTTCTCAGCAGCATTGATTGCCTGTAGCGTTTCATCTAGAGGTATGACCTTGGAAATTTCCCCCCACCCACATCATTTCAGCTGGTATGGTCATTATGTAGGTCTTATTTAGGAAACCATATTGTTGAGATTTCATGGGTGTACCTTCCCTCTCATGTCTAGAAGATACTCTCTAGCAGGGGGTGTCCTGGTCTTCTGGCTCTTACAGTCTTTCCACTGTTCTGTGATGCTCCTGAGCCTTAGTTGTAGGGGTTACATTGTAGATGTACCAGTTGGGGTTTGACATCCCATGTCACTTATTCTCTGCATTTTGACCAATTGTGACTCACTGTAAATGTCCCCATCTATTGCAAAAAGAAAATTCTTTGATGAGTGATGAGAGCTACACAGAGATTGTATTGATTTAGGGAAATGGCAGTAGTAGACTTTTCCCTAGAGTCTGTGGCCTCTCCAGCCATGGATAATTGGTTAGGTTTACAGTACTGGACTTGAATTCTACCCCCTCCTCCCATTGAGCAGGCCTTAAATTCTGTTAGACAATTGTTGGTTACCCCAAGATAAATGTGCTACTCTTGTACCATTAGGGATATCTTGCTGGGCTGGTGATTGTTACAGTACATAGGCTCTATAGCTGGTGGACATATTTTTAAAAGGAGTGCTTTCAAAAACTTTGCATTTGAAGGAAAATACATGTATGAGCTTTCATGTATTTTATTTTTGAAATGATAATATAAATGAATTTACTTTCAGGGAACATACCATATCTAAAGACCTAGAGAACATAAATGATTTTTACTACTTAGTTTAGTCCAAATTCATTGTAACCATAGAACTATGGAACATTTTAGAAACCTTGGAAGGAGGTGAGCATGCGTTAATGCTCAGTGTGTGGTCGCTATACTGCATGAGCAGGATTCAGAATTCCAAGAAACGGTTGCCTGCATCCTGATGGGCAGGTAACATCAGCTCTGTTTTGCAAACAGAGACAGACATTTGAGCTCAGAGAGGTTAAAATCATTTACACAAGTCTAATTTAAAAGCCTTGGACTTAGAATTGTACTCATAATGACTTCTTGACATCTCTTCCATTTACAAAGGTGACATGCCTACTTTAGCTTGTTTATTCTTTATCCTCGTATCTTCTTTTTCTAGGGGCAGCTGCTAATTCTGGGTAAGACAGATCAATGGCTTGATGTCCCCTAAGCTGTTTAATGAATCTAGGTAGCTGTCTTGACTTTCCTGCTAAGAATGTGCTTGCTTCTGCTCCTTTGCACTCATTCATTGGCCTTTAATTCTTTTCTTCTCTTTGGGGAAGGCATTTACTATTATCTAGTTCCACTTTAGAGGTCAGGAGTATATTTGAAGAAAGTTCTGTATTTTTCATTAAAAAATATAAGTGGCAAATGAAATTCATTGACTATTTCCCACTGTCTTCTGGTACTTACAGACACCATGTGAAAAGGGTGTCTGAGGGCTGGAAACTGGGAGCCACACGTCCTCCCTTGCATGTATCACTGAGCAGGGAGAGGATTACAGACCAGCCCCTCCTTGCACTTTCTGTGCCTTATTGACTTCATCTGTAAAGAGTGTGGGTGCTACTAGGTGATTTCTATGGCTTTCAAATGCTGCATGTTTTGTGGTCTTCAAACTGTCAATTTCTGCTGAGCTGCACATTCCAGCAGCTGTTTTCTCTGATACTTTTCAGTCTTTTGATTTAATCTATTCGACAATGCATAATTTTTAAAAGGGAAGCTCTTATGGACACTTCTGAAATATAAGAGTGAGGGGAATAAATGGATGTTAAAAAATAGAAAACAACCAATTAAATAGTATATAGCATATAATTCTCCTTGGAAACTTACTGTGAAATTGAGGAGCACTTTAACAACTGGTAATTTAAATTGCATTTGAACTCTGCTAATGGTTTGTTTGCATGGGAACTTCAATCATCTCATAGCGGTTCTTTAGCAAAGCTGCTTGTTCTCTTTATGGAAAGAGAGAAAAAATTATTAAAGGAGAAGTTGCCTATGGGAAAGGGAGGCCACGTTCATTGGCTCATGGAGGGAAGCTAGGGAGCGTGTAAATGCTGCTCCCCCAGGGCCCAGGTGGATGGCTGTGTCTTTCAGGCAGAGAGCCCTTTGTTGCTGTTGAAGAAACTGTTCTGAGTTGTCTCTTCTTTTTTAGTATGCAAATTAGCTTTCATCCTTAATAAGTGGCACACAAAATAACCATTTTAAAATAAATTCCTTTATGCTTTACTACAAGTAAATATTTATGTACCTATTTTATATGTCTGTGTGAAATTTTCTTTAGAGAAAAGGGGTCAGAAGTGGAAAAACTTTAAGCTATCCCAACATATTGCATTTTGGATAATTCCAAAGTGTGATTCTAATTTCTCTCTCTTTGCATAAGGGAGCTTTGGTTTTATGGGGCTTTGGGTTGAGGGGGCTGTTTTTTTTTTTTTTTTTTTTTTTCTTCCTTTCTATCACATTTCACTGTCCAGAACTCTAAAGTTGGACTTTTAACAACCCATTTTAAATTGTACCTTCAGTGAAAATGTTTTTGATAATCCTGATATTCTGGTAAACATAAGCTCTCAGGAAACTGACTACTTCAGTGGGCTCATCCTCATTAAATTCCATTTTCTGTTGTTGGAATATATTAAGAGAGCTTGCCTCCAGCCTGAGTGTATAACCCAAGACAGATTCTTGGGCTCAGTCTGTGTCCCTGTTAACATGGGCAGTAACTAGGTCCACTGGATCAAGTCCTGGACTCCTTGTCACTAGTGATGGGCTTATTGAATGACCATCTCTGTACTCTGGCCTTCAATTCTCTTCTTGTTGAAAAGTTGGAGTAAGTAATTTTTAATGTCTTTTCCAAGTCTAAGCTTACTTATACAAGGATGTGAAGACTAAGACAGTATACATGAACCAATTACGTGTTTGGTTAGAAATGCTCAAAGTCACTCTAATGAGAATGAGAGTGGTAGTTTTTCTGCTCTGTGTGCCTCTCCTCCCTATACCAAGGACAAGTTTTATAACAGCCCACTTACCCTAGATACACGTTGCATAATCCCAAGAGTCATAGTTCTCAAAGAAATAAGCCCATACTAAGGCTTTACTTAGAAGTACTGAGATTTTTCCATCTCCCTGTGCCTCACTAGTTCCAATTTCACAGGTAAGGAAATTAAAACTGACAGGGCACTAAGTCTTTAGTTGGAAACTTGTGTTTGTATTTGATGTAGTTAAAATTTATCTGTTAATATCCTTAAATTATATCTATTTGATCTCTCTCTCTTTTTCTCTCTCTGTCCTCTCCCCTTCTTGTACTTCCGTTAGGTAGGTGAAGCTACTTCCTGAGATGTGAAGATGGAGGCCCCAGAATTCTCTTTCTCTATCATTTGAAACAAATTTGTGACACAAGAGTGTTTGGTGCTGGCTGGAGGTTTGTGGTTTAGAAGCCAGTCTGTCAATTAGACCTCATGCCAGTATGCTCTGCTTAGAGACACTGTGAACCTAGAAAGTTCTGAAGCTGGGAAGACCCCAGAGATTGATAAACAATCTTGTTTTCTGCTTTCCACAGGTGGCAATACAGGCTGTGAAGCATAAGTGGAGACAGTTGGTCATCTGATTCCCTATCTAGTGCTTTTGTAACTGTTCACCGCGCACTCGTCGGAGGGCAGGCATTTTTCCTCAGTTGGTGAGTCCTACACAGAAAGATGCATCTCTTTCATCAGCAATATGCATGCTTTAAGGAATTTAAAAATCATGGGTGCTAATAACAGGAATTGAGAACTAGAGAAGTCTGATTTCATGGCCACAGGCTAGATAAGACAATGCCAATGTAATGTGTGGCAAAGCAAAGACAGGCAGGTGGTATGCTGAGTAACTGAAGGAAGACTCAAAGTGATGCTGGTTTCAGCTTGCCAGTAATTGTATGGCTTCCTTCTTTCTCCATTGGCATGAAATGAAGTGTTGTTGAAATTGAAAGGCCAAAATGAAAATGTCAGGGACTAGTGATACAGGCAGTTGTGAGGAAAGAAAACAGCATTAGCGAGCGTTTCTTGTTTATTCATATGTAAGGTACATTTTTATGATCTCATTTTATTTTTCCCTCACCTTCTGGAGGTTGAGGAAGCTAAATTTGCCTTGGCAGAGGGTGGGAGGCTTTGTTTTGCTGGGCCTGCTAATGCTCCATTGCAATCTCAGTGTGACTCTTGTTGCTTTCTTGGAGAGGAAAGGAGTGGTCAGATTAAATTAGCTGTCTTTCAGTGCCTCTGTGTTTCACAGGTAAAGTGAATGTGGTGCAAGGAATCTGTGGAATGGCATGCCCTGGTGATGAGCTGAGGGAAAATGGATTCTGGCTAAGTCTTCCTGTGATTGTAATTCTGTGGTCTCCCTGCTGAAGGTCAATCCCTGTGTGCATACAAACATTGGCATTAAACTACATAAATAATAATGCCTCACCATGTGGGTTGTGTCTTTTTTCAAAACACAATAGATGTTGTGATTGGGGAAAAAAAAGAACCCTAACTTCACTTGGCAATGTGACTGAAATCTGCCTTTGTGTTTTGTTGCTTTGTATTTTCTTCTTCATTGTATTCCTGCTTTCCTCACACGGTTGGTCTGCATGGTGTAGATGGCTGGCACTCTTTGACTTTGACTTTTCAGCGTTTCACTGTTAAAATCTCAAACACAGCTTGACTCTTTTCCCCCGGCTTATTGTTTCAACCTTTCTTACCTGTTTCAGCTCTTTTGAGTTTTCTGTATGGTGAATATGGCTCTTTGAACTTGAATTTAAAGTTATCAAGTATATAATGACAGCATAGAGAGATTGTCTTAGCAATACGTAAGCTGGAAGAGGCTCAGAAGGTCTCATTATCCAGAAGCTAGTTATGAGCCAACAGTGATTTTTGTCTTCTGAAATACTGGTGTCGCCTTGGATTACAATGAATGGAATATGGTATTCAGAACAAGGTGGAAGGATAGTCTTGCAAACCTAGAATTCCTGGTTCAGAAGTGAGGTAGGCTTCGGGTACAACTTGAGCAGGATTTTAGCTCTGCTGCTCTGCAGTGTTCTTGGCTCTGCCCTTTCTGGTTGTTGCTTTCATGACCTTCAAAGTATTTACCTTAGGGTCAGGAGATAGCTGTTCACTGTTGCCAGGCTATAAGACATCTGCCTACGTATTTGGAGGGGAGAGAGCCTTGTTGCCATGTTCACAAAAGCTTCTGTTACTGCACCTTGCAGAAACAGTCACTGAAGCCAAGTGGATGGGACTATGCTACTTGGAACACATGCAGCAGAGCTCTCCTAAAGCTGAATTTAGAGACGACAGTCCCATCCAAATCTCATGGCAGCCACACAGTGGAGATGAAGTGGCTTCTCAGAACAAGCATACTGTTTGGGAGAGAGGACTAGAAGTCATGACTTCCCTCGGGCCTCATTAGTGTGTCAAGCTTTAGTTCTTGCCTCAGCTTCTGAAAGGGATGTTAGCCAGTTGGACTCCATACAAAGGTGCTGCAAGGCTCAAATTGATATGCCAGCAAGAACTGTTAAAAGAATGAGACTGTAGAGAATGCAGGATGCTGGGGCATATAGGATCTTGACCTCCAAGACTCTAAAGCCCAGTCAGAAGGACAGTGTTTCTTGATCTTGTGTGTCCCATAGTCTAGAGGGGTGTCTTGCACATAACAGGTGCACTACACATTTTCATGCATAGAAGAATAAATCTAAAGGTTGTGAGTGTACCTTTCGTAGGCCTGGCTGAGTCAGTTGAACAGTTACAGGAATTGTAGTCATGGGCAGCATGACTTTGTGAGGGTGAAACAAATGGTTGCTCAGAAAGAGGCTTTGGGATGAGTGTAACTGTAGGCATTTTCTGTAAGCACATGAAAAGGTGGAATATGGCAGGATGGGGTAACAGAAAGCCTGCCAAGTGTTAGATGGGCAGCCTTAGAAAAACAGGCTCTCTCTGCTCTCATTTTCCAAATCTCAGAATTACAGACAATGTTCTTTGTATGCTTGCCTCTTACAAAATCTGTTGGTAGATGCTAGTCTGTTTACTAATTTGTCAAGTACAACCCATTCACGATAGGTTATTGCAGTTGTTTTCTTCTTTAAAGATTCATTCTAAATCTAAAGAAAAGTAAGATAATGTAAATTAAGTGTCTAGCACTGTGCCTAGAACATAGTATTTATGTTTGGTATAGATCCTTCCCTGAAGCCCAGTCCCCTGCCCACCCTAAGACCAGATGAATGCTAGCTTGTCTTGAATCTCAGAAAGAAGCTGGATCTGAAGCCTTCTTGTCCTTTAAGTTGAAGTAGAGTATGTATTGTGAATTTTCACATTTGTTTTTGTCTGGGGCAGTGAGAGCTGTCAGGAGGTAGATTCAGAGATGTGGGCAGTTCAATGCTTGAGAGACTCCAGCAAAGGTACAGTATAGTCTGTGGGATTCTTGCTTTACTCGTTTGGATAATCATGCCTTCTGTGTCAAGTATGACTGGCCAAGTGGGAGTCAGGAAGGAAATTGTTTCCCTCTTTGGATATCATTGTACAATTGTTGATTGTGGCCAAGGACTTTCGATTTTAATATTTCCTTTTTGGTCTTAAGAACTACCAGGTATTAGTCTCTGCCGGAAGCAAAACATCGGTCACTTCCGTTAGAGGCGTATGCGTTGGCTTTCTGCAATTACTTGGCCAGGTGGTTTCTGAGAATTTGTTACCATCTGCTAAGGCAGATTTTATTTTTATTTACTTGCATCACAAATTACAAGGGAACTTACTGGGTCTGAACAGAGAGGCCCATGCAGTCTCCTGAAAGTCTGGTTCTTTATGTAGCTCAGGGGCATCTTGTAGGAGGTATGTTTACTGTCCATTAAGGTAAAAAGTGAACGAATCTCCCTTTTCATCCCTCCTTCCAATTCCTCAGCCTTCTATTTCTTTGCTTTTTGTACAGTGGGGATACCACTTTATCTTCCTTGGAATGGTCCTAGGAGATCAGGGTTGTTGCTGACTGAGTTCTCCCTCATTGGGTTACTGTGTGATAGAAGATGTCTGATTCTGAAGGAATCTGTAGTCAGCTGCCAGACACCTACTTCTGGTTCATAGGGAATGTATCTGTTTTCTTCCCTGATTCCAGTATTTTTCTGGATATTGGTAACTTCATCACCTCTCTTCTCCCCTTCAGTGCTGAAGATTGAACACATGACCTTGTATTGATGGGCAAATTCTCTGCACTGAGCTACATGCCCAGATCACTGTTTGAGTCATTAGTGACTATGGTGAGTTAGGTATACTCCCTGATCCTGAGAAGCTTGTAACTTTGAGGAAAGATTCATATAGAAGAGAGTAGCACACACTGGGAAGGTGATTGCTTAGAGTACTTTTATTTATCAAAAATGCTTTTCAAGCCTCATGATGGGTACTTGGGAGACTAGGATTTGTCATGGCGTCAGATCTCACAGGAGCTAGAAAAGGACTGTGGAGAGTAGAGAGGATTAGGAACATGAACACAGGCAAAGTTTCCAGGAGGCAGGACTCTTATCACTAAAATAAGCTGGGTGGTTGGTAGGGTGGGTGGGCCTGTGACCACAGTTTGGTCAGTGGAGGCTGGCCAATGTCTAAGAATAGGTATAGATGATACCGAAATATGATGGGCAGGTAAGGCTTTCATCTTTCAGCATCTGCTTCCTTGGCTTCATAAAAAATGGGGAGAACCTTCCAGGATGGGGCATTTCAATCTCTGATGTAGTATGATCAATTATTGTTTCTATGTAACAGATTTCCCTAAACTTACCAGTTAAAACAGGACACATTTATTACTCCATAGTTTCTGCAAGTTAGGGACTGGGGACAACTTAGATGGTGCCTTCAGCTTTCTTACGAGGTTGCAGGCAGCGTGTTGCTGATCTTGCAGTGTCATCTTCAAGGTCAGTCACATGATCATGGGCAGGATTCAACCCCCTGCAGGTTGCTGGTCTGAGGACTTCCATTCCTTGCCACGTGGGTCTATCCACAGGGCATACTCCCTAGACAGTTGGCTTCTGTCAGAATGAGCCAGAGGGACTCCCAAGGTGCAAGCCACAGTCTTTTCATCACCAACACTGGAGGTGACACACCATTCTCTTTGCCTCATTCTCTTTGCTAAGTGCTATACCACATCCAGCTCACTGGCAAAGGGAGATATCACATGATGGAATGATTCCCAGAATGGGACCATCTGAGGGGCTGCTGGCCACAGATTTCCAGGTTACACGGCATGTGCTAGGGTGAGAAAGGGGTTACATGAGGCTACTGGATACACTTGGCATACCTATGTACATCAGTTTTACTTAGAAACTTTCTTTGATGGAAAATTCCATTTAAAGTCATAATGAAAACATTGATATACAACAGTACAGAATGCAAAATTGGCATGAATTCTCAGAGGAAAGTCACAGGTTTTCTATTAATGCTATCCTTCCCCACCTTTACATTTTTGCTCTCCTCAGCAGTTAGAGCTACTTTGGAAATGACTGGAATTCTTGCTTGAGCCCTTTGCTGTATAGATGAGCAGGCGAGGGAACAGACTTGCTTCAGTGGGTAGTGCAGGGGGGGAGTCATAAAACTCCTCTCAGTGTTCCCTTCCCACCTGGCCGCCCTTCTCTGCTTTGTAATGAGTCTGAAAGCATCCTTTAGGCATGTTTTCAGTTCTCTTACT